CACACAGCCCCGGAACCGGTTGCTCCGGAGGCAGAACTCCGGACACTGACGGATATGACATTTCTGAAGTTCGTAGCAATCTCTCTCTCTCTCTCTCTCTCTCTCTCTCTCTCTCTCACACACACACACACACACACACACACACACAGACACTCGCTCTCTACGTCATACTCTCTCGCTCCTACAATCTATACATCCCTCTCTTATTACGAGCCCAGCTCCGCCTCATACCACGATCGCCACTCTCCACGACTCCTTACCTTCCTCTTCGTCCTCCCCCCTCGCCCCCCCATCTTCCTTTCCGTTTTATTTCATCCCAGCCGTTAGCTCTCTCGATACTAGCGCCAAAGCAGGAGAGAGACAGACATACAAACTTTTATTTAACGCACAGACCTCCGGCTCCTCTCGCAAAGCCCAAGACGTTCATCCAATTTTTTTTTTTTGGTATCTCAAAATTTTTTTTTTCAACATTCCCTCCACGTGGCACCAACGTGTCCGGTACGTCGGTCTGTCGCTCGGTCGGCCGTGTCACTTTCGAAATTGAAAACTGGATTATCGAGAAACAGCTGCGACCCCCCCTTCCCTGCCCCGGGGACCCCCTTTCACGCGATCCTCCCACCCAGTATCTTCGATGTTCGAAATTCACGTGGAACCTCTCGTGAGATCGACCGGTAGTCGGTCTGCTGTACCGATATGAATAAACGACGTAATAACGATGTTACGGGTGTTGCGAAAACTATCAGTAGGAGGAATGGAATCCCGTGAGTTACGGGAGTCGCGTTACTTATTTAGCCCCATTGGCACCGGCAAGGAGCGCCGACTCCTTTCGCATTACGCTCGCGTATCGTCTATCTAGGTAGATGCACAGTTTCATGGCCACCGGCAGCTTTCCTTACGGCTCGTACCGGGATCCGTCCAGCAGTGCCGATTGTCTCGCTAAAGGTTACCGCGAGCGAGGCCCAACGTTCGCGAAGTCAAGTGACAACGTAACGAGCCTGCAGAAAGATCCGAGCTGACTAATTAATTAACGTGGGATGTTCTCGCATAGGTAGAAAACATCGACAAGGCTGCGCTGGTTAATACGTATGCTGGGCGTACGTACGCGGCCGGGGGCTTACGAAGCTCGAGAAAGGACCCGGTGTGCCTCTGGGATAAGAGAAAAAGCCCCGGGAGGGGCTTGGCCATATCTACATACATGGACGTGCGTAAAGAGAGAGAGAGAGAGAGAGAGAGAGAGAGAGAGAGAGAGAGAGAGGCCCCCAGGATCCGTCCGGTGGACTGTTAAACATTATTAATTAGACCGATGTGGTGATTAATAGCCTGTGTTAAGCGAACGTAGCTGCGTTTTGTGGACGGGTGTACGGGAGTCCCTTGGCTCGCTGCGTTCATGACCACCAACATGGCTTTCGCTACCGAACTGGAGCGAAGTGAAAAAAAAAAAGAATAGATTTCAAGAGAACAACGTACAGTCGGGAGCCGCGTGTGGATAGATGGACGTACCGTGTACTGGGCACGGCGAGAAGGCGCTCTTTTATTTCTTTTATCGAGATTTCATTAATTGGACGTGATTAACGGTGAAAA